AGGCAGCTGAGGTCGCAGAACAAATATTTAAGTGTCTCACATTTACCCAGCTGTCTTGTCTAAATGCTAAGACCCAACAGGCAAGGTCAGATTTGCTCTCTGGTATTAGGTACAATTAGAGTAGAAGGGAAAGCAAACAGATGCAGGTAGCTGTGCCTGTTGAGTCCGGATAGTAATTCCATGCCGTTTATATTAAACTAAGACACTCCAGGGAAAAATTCTCAACCAAATCAAAGTGCATAGGTGTCTCTATTTTGGAGGAGAGATTGCTTCACCTGAGGTCTCTCAGAGAGACGTTAGCTCTCTAGTTCTCAGAGAACTATTTCCTTATGGTGCGGCTTGGAGCTCTGAGCCAGTAGCAGGGAATACTGGAGGGAAAATCAGAGAGCCATAGACTTTTCTATCCAGAAGTTGACTTATCTAATGCAGCCTTCTCACTTCATCAAGAACAAAAATTGAGGCATGGAGATTTGCTAATAGCTTGTCTAAGATGGCCATGTATCTAGAGAGAGCCCTTGTCTCCTGATGCCTTCTGAAACGTCAAAGGTCAAACATCAATCTCTTTTAATTTACAAAAGTCAGACAAATCTGTAATACCATTTCCAGAGTCTTCTGGATACAGAAGCAAACAAATTACCATGTAGTCCACATCATGAGAACTGCAAGTAGCTTTGACAAAATTAAAACCACATATCTCCACCTTGGTTCTCAGAAACACCAGGAGCCCCCCGACTGCATGTAAATGTGTAGGATTGAGTCTGGTCTGCCAGTTCATTTCAATAGTTTTGTGATGCTCTGTTCTGCTATCTGTCGGATAAAATGAAACATTTTGCTTTGAAAGGACTTGTTCTCCAGGTTGAGCAATGTGGCCTTTAAGAAAGAAAGAGCCCGTTCTTCATCTGTACTTTGTCAAATCTCGGTTTTAAAAAACTGAAATAAAATTCTGATTTTCAGGCCAGGGTGTTTGTGACAAGCTCCCTAAAAAGAAATATCCAGAGGCATAGAGCATCTCACCACTGCCCAGGAAGCAGGTCGTACAAGAGCCTGATTTAGATGATTCAAGATAAAAATCCCCACAACTCAACCGACACCCTGCCCCAAGAATAAAACTGTAGCAACTCAGAGGAGACTGACAGGGTTACCTGGAGGTGCTGGATTCTGCTGTGGCTAATGTAGAGTCTCTTGGTGGTGGAAGGAATGCCTGAAGGTACTTCCATGAGCCTGTAGCATTGGACAGACTGCGTAGGATCGCAGCTGCATCGGCCTGGACAGTAGGCTCTGAGGCCACTGCTAAGAGAGAGCCAAAGAAGGAAAGCGCAAAGCAGGAGCATCTTCCAACACAGAAGTTTGCGGGTAGCAAGCAACTGTTTAGGTGACACCGTACTCTTTATACCGTGGACTCTGATAACAGGATCTTATGAATGTGTACTCTGTCAGTGTGAGAGGACAGAGGAGGGAAAACTCCATTTGCTCCGTTTGCCTGGGTTAGCAATCATTACAAAGAGGAAGGGCGTAAACATTGATAAGCTGCCTTAATATCGCCAGGTGAACAAAACCCCGTGTTATTTATGGCTGGCTAGTCTAATCTGCAAACACTCCTATTATCTGAAGTTTCCTCGTCTTGTTAAATGTGACACTGGAGAAGTAGTGGGAAAAGACAAAGAGCTGGTTTATAGTGGGCCATAAAACCTTCGCATTTTCTGTGACCCTGGATTAAAACCATTTTTTTTTTTTTTTTGCAGGACCCGAGCAAGCAGGTGTTTTCTTCTCACATTAATTATTAAGGGGAAACAGGCCCGTTTCTCTCCCTGTTACTGTTTCGGTGCCCTTTTATTGCAAGATGAAACAATGGGTTACAATGAGAAATATTTAGAGCCACAGATAAGGAACTTGGTTTACTTATCTCTTAATTTACCCAAATACAATGTTTGGGAAAATAGCTTTCTCAAAAACATTAGCTCTATTAAAAACGAAACACTAAATAGGCCTATTACCTTGATCTTCTTGTAATGATAGCACAAAGGGCTTTTATTTTCTTCAGAGGGATTTGCTGATTGTGACATCTTGTAAGGGTAGAGATGGACAGGGTCGTGTATCTGGGGTGATTCTCTGATGTGGTTTTTTTGCCCTTTACAAAGCATCCTTGCTGAGGCCTTTGGAAGGGTTTAACAGAGAACTGAACTTTATCAGAGTGCTTCAGAGCAACCCTTTAATGCAGAAAAGCTCCAGTGAGCCCTCAGCTCTTTGATATGATTGCAATTTGAAACCAGTTATTTGAAACCTAATAACCAATTGATTTGATATCCAGGGTACCAGTACTATGTGTCTTACAGATGGTTTTCTTCATCTGTTTGTGGTTTTTTTTTTTTTTGCTGTTGTTGTTTAATTTTATCAGAAGCAAACAGTGATAAAAAAGATTACTTTTTCACTAATGTTCTGCCTTTAACTACTTTATTGCCTTTATCTAATAACACTTTTTAAGTTTTCAAAAATTTCCAATATCAAAGTACATAGCTGATTTTTAAAAACCTGGAAGAAAATAAAAAGGACAGTTGAGATGGCTCTGTGGTAAAGGCACCTGCCTACAACCCTGATGATCTGAGTTCAATCCCTGATAGGTAAGAACTGACTTTTAAAAGCTATCCTACAACCTTTTGCACGCCTGCCTTCACCCCCATCCCTGTCAGACACACACCTCAAAGTATTATATAAGAAAGATAGCAAGAAGGGGAGACATTCAGCTTTAGTCCTGTCCCGAAGTTAAACATTGTTTTTCTAGCCCCTTTCTTTGCTTTGGTTTTGAAAAGACAAGAGAAGGGCTCACTAGACATGTATGACTTTGCATGTTGCAAAACAGATGGCTCGAAGTTACTTTCCTGGTGTGTAGCATCTAACCTGGAGGTGGAGGGTTCCTTTCCCTATCTACTGGGCTAGGAAGTAGCCATAGAGTTGGCATAGTGGAGCACCATAATCCCAACACCAGGAAACTGAGGTGGGAGGATTGCAAGTTCCAGACAAGCCTGCTCTATATAAGAAGACCCTGTCAAAAAAAAAAAAAAAAACCCACAGGAACTGCCCTGCTGCCCATCTTCTCTTTACTGACATCTGGAACTTCCACATGCCAACCAAAGGGTAGCCACATACAGTTCAGGTTTCTAATTTTTTTTTTTTTTGGTTTTTCGAGACAGGGATTCTCTGTGGCTTTGGAGCCTGTCCTGGAGCTAGCTTGGTAGACCAGGCTGGTCTCGAACTCACAGAGATCCGCCTGCCTCTGCCTCCCGAGTGCTGGGATTAAAGGCGTGCTCCACCATCGCCCGGCCCAGGTTTCTAATTCTTGAACCCGAGTCACTAAGACCAGGGAAAAAGCCATCTGCCACTTCACACCAGAGGACCCAGAGTACTTCTGATGTTTGTACCAGGTAAAAAAATGCTATGTATTTCTCAGGCATGGAAATACAATGGCTTACCCAGCAGATCTCTTCAATATGCACCCCAGAACCTAGGTTTAATCTTTCCGCACCGAAAACAACAGTCTCAAGGAATTTAACTGGGCTTGGATTAGGTTTTTTGTTCAGCTTCTCAAACCAAGTTCCTTCCTTACTTATCTTTACTCTCTGTCTCTACTGAAAGTACTTTTTTTTTTTAAAGAAACTATTTATTGTCTATTTTGCTTCAGTGTTTGCAGAACAGCTAGCAACTGATCTGTGGTGTTCCAACTCATTCAGTGTCCTGAGCAGTTGGAAGGAGCTGCTTTGGCACTCCCGATTTCAGTGGACAAGCTCAGTTGCTACCCCTTCAGATCAGTCGGTCACCTCAGGCTGAGTAACAGCTGTCATTCAGCCCATTTCACCAGCGGAGGGAGCTCTCCGACTGCATCTAATGGGCTTGTTCACATTGTGGACAAGAATCTGTGCCTATAATGAGCCTCTGTAAGGGGTTGATGGTAATGGACACAGTCACCACTTCTCACCTGGCTCCTGGAAAGTTGCTTGAATCAGGTTAACTAAGAGCCTAGGAATGAAGAGACCAGCAATAGGAATGGCTCCGGTGGTAGCACTAATTTTCAGGAAATTTCAATGGCCAGTATTCCTAGAAAAGATGATCCTGACATCGGCTGAGTTCTCCATGGCAACAATGGTTTGCGCTCCCAGCAGTAGCTTCTCCCAGGTTCTGTTCTGATTTATTATGTAGATTTCACCTCTTCTTCTGTCAGTGTGGCTGTTGTGTCTGGAAACCAAGGCAGGTGCCACCTAAGCGAGTTCCTGCCGAGAGGAGTTCCTCCTCCTTTATTTGCAGGACTTCAAGGGCTATAGGCATGGTGAGAAAGCTTTCCCTAAGTTATGACCTGAATCAAGAGTACCATAAGGGCCCTTCCTGGGACACCCTGCAAAGTGAACCGTGGAACTGCAGGGGAGGGGACAGTACCATTGGCTTCTCGTGGACAAGCAGAGATGCTACTAAACACCCTTCAAAGACAGGCTGTAGGAAGGAATTCCATCAGAAGGAAGTTTTCAGTCCAAAATATTAGTAGTGCCATTGTTTAAAGAAACAAAAAGGCATCAGGAAATGGATATTGTCCTTTCCTGATTTATTAAAATCAAGGATCAAAAATAATTGGCCTGCACTCTGAAGTTACATAATATTTTGTTTGTAACATTTTGAGAGCCATCACCACAAAAGGCACTATAAAGAACTCCCTAGAAATGTCTTTTAAATGATTATTTCTGTTACGTTATATGGAGGACTCCACTCGCGTGACATTTTGATGAATTCTAATTTGTGTCACTAGCTGTCTGCATGAGAAGAAAACTTAGAGATGATACGCTTGATAACTTCTTCCCTGCTATCCGTAGAAAACTGAAGTCCAGAAAAGAAATTGAGTTGCCTAAATTGCACCTGATCTGGCACTAGGACACTCAGCTCATGGTCTGGCTACAAACTGACTAGCCAAATGCTAAGAACAAAATATAAGAACAAAAACAAGAACACATGGATTTCTTATGTTAAAAAAGATCCACCGCATCCGGATCATGCTCACCAGCCGCAACGTGAAGTCGCTGGAGAAGGAGTGTGCCGACCTGATTAGAGGCGCCAAGGAGAAGAACCTGAACGTGAAGGGGCCCGTGCGCATGCCCACCAAGACCCTGAGGATCACTACGAGAAAAACACCTTGTGGGGAAGGCTCCAAGACTTGGGATCGTTTCCAAATGAGAATCCACAAGCGCCTCATTGACTTGCACAGCCCCTCCGAGATAGTTAAACAGATTACATCCATCAGTATTGAGCCGGGCGTGGAGGTTGAAGTCACCATTGCAGATGCCTAAGTCAACTGTTTTAATAAATTGACTTAATCGGTTAAAATTTGAAAAAAAAAAAGATACTTTAAGGATTTTTTTTAAAAAAATGCGTACATGATTCTTTTTAAATTGTTTATTCTGGAGCATGTTTAACAAATGAGTTAAAGTGAAACAGAAAAAAAACCACACACACTCTACATTTCATTTTTTCCCCTCCTATAAAATGAAGATAGTTGGGAATGGCCCCTTAGAATTCCAGCACTCAAGAGACTGAGGTAGGAGGATAGTGAGTTCAAAACCAGCCCGCAAAAGCAAGCCTCAGAACAAGTTCTGCCAAAGCATTCTTGTACTTTCAAATTGAAGTACAAAGAAAAGAAAATGTTGAAGGGTATTTAGAACGCACTACTTGCAGAGGCAGTGCTTACAGAAGTAACCTTTAGAAACATAAATGAGGGAGGTTAATGAGGGGGCGTTCGTGTTTGATCTGTAAAGACTGGACAAGCTGAGAAGTAAACAGTAACTTGACAGGGAATAAAGAGAAAGAATCAATGCCCGGTAAATGCTGATAGTCATTGACAGATAGCGGCCTTAGATAATGAGCTGTGGGAGAGGGTAGGCCAAGAGCGTGAAGCCGGTCTCCGGAGAGAGGAACTTAAAGCTAGTCTTAGCAGAACAAAGGAAAACAGACAAGGTAACAGGATTGAAAAGTTTCTGTCAGGCTTTAAGTTTGTCTATACACAAAATATAGCATCTGGGAAGCTTTAACTGTGGAACAGGAAAAATAATTCTTGAAGCCTAAGTTATACTGAACTTAATATTTAAGACAGAATATTGTTAATTAAAACTTTTTCTTTAAATTGGGAAAATACTACTTAAAAGACCAACATGTATTTTAGAAATAACTCTAACCCAATAGCCAATATAAAAGTCTAGTTAGATATGCACTGTTACAAGTATCAAAAGTATGTTTGACAAATATCTGCTTTTAGAATTTCCTAGGTAAATAGTAGACTATCATTTATTGTTGTTGTTGTTCAAGACAGGGTTTCTCTGTGTAACAGTCCTAGTTATCCTCGAACGAGCTCTTGCAGACCAGGCTGGTCTTGAACTCACAGAGATCTGCCTGCCTCTGCCTCCCGAGTGCTGGGATTAAAGAGGTATGCCACCACCGCCCAGCCAATAGTAAACTATCTTAACTATCAAAGTTATCCATAGTTATAGCATTCCTCCTGTAGTCCAGATTCTAGGTTAGAATTTGAGAGTTTTCTTTTTAAGTGTATGTGTGCATGTACAAATACACATGCCCATTCATGTATATAAAGAGGTTAGAGGGTGACCTCAAGTCTTTTGTCATTCTTCAATTTAGTTTTTGCAGCAAGGTCTCTCACTGAAACTGAATCTCATTGACTCAGCTAGATGGGCTGAGCAGAAAGACCCGGTCCCTCTTGTCTCTGCCTCTTTCCTGGCACTGAGACCACAGATGCACACCACATCTGACTTTTCCAAAGAGGGTGTTAAAGGTCTCAACTCAGGCCTTCATTCTTGGGCAGTAAACACTTTACGCACTGAGCCATCTCCAAGGACAGCACCTGGCATTTCAGTATAAGCATGTTGCAGATTTGGGCTTGCAGTCTAAGGTGTTTCCTGTGAGTATCACAAAGAGCTATTGCAGATATGTGTAGGAACTTAAATAGGAATGGAGTCTATAGACTCACATGAGGAGAAAGAAGGGAGGCAAGAGTGGCTGAGCTAATCCTAAATTACTCCACTAAATTCTCACATTTTTAGAACATGATAACAATCAGTTTCCCCCAATTATATAAAAAGAAACAGAATGAGGATGAACAAGCCACCCAGAAATGCTAGTTTCTTTTATGTGACTTTCTTAAAATTATAAATTGTAGCAATGCTATGTAATAGATATAGTAACTATGAAATAAGTACAATATTGTGAGGTTTTTCCACGTTGTGCAAATAAAATGGCAACAAACTTCCCTTGTTCTTCATACAACTGTTTATAACTATCAAGAGTAATTTATCTCTTTTCCTACTCCTGGCAGGGTTACAGGAAATTAACAGGAACAAGAGATGCTTATAAAGCCTGGAACAGAGAAGCATTGAATACTGATAGTCTCCCTATCCTGTGACAGGCAGGTTTTCCATAGACTCCCAGCATCCTTAGAGTTGGAGCTCTCTAACTAACTTCACAGCTACCAACTAGCTTACCAGAGGACACATCAACATCTTCCCTCTCTCTAGTTTCCTCAGTTTTCACTCTGTTTGTCTTTAGTGGTGAAACTCGACGTGAACAAAATAAGATTGTCAGACTAAGTATCACTGCTCATGTCTGAATCCCAGCAATCGTGAGGCAGAGAGAGGAAGACTGTCCGGAGTTTTGTTTTAGGCCAGCCTGGTCTGTACAACAAGATCTAGGCCAGCTAAAGATACATAGCAAAACCTTGTGTCAAAACAACAATGACCAAATAAAATCGGATTGGTTTTAACTATATTGTTTTATTCTAAATAACACGAGCATGAGTTATGAGTTATTGGAAGTATCTTTTCAATCCAACTAAAAATAGAAATATCACAGTCTTTTCTAAGCCATGTGAAAATAAATGTCCCAAGTTCTGAAATGCCAAGTACCAATCCCAGCAAAAGCGACAAATGCAGATAGAGCACTCCGACAACAGATGGCAGCACTTGACCACTGAGCGTCTTCTCCACTTCGCTGTTCTAGTGTGACTTGCAGAATTGCAGACTCCCCAGTCAAGGCGGCTGAGACTTCCTATGAGGACATCTCAGGAACTACGAATACGTGTGCACACAGGATGTGGCAGCTGCTGAGCAGCAGGATCATGAGAAGGGACAATGTGACATAAGATAAGCCTGAGTCATCCAAGGTACGACTTGTTGGAGTTTAAAGGCTGTGACAGAAATGAAGCTGGGTTCTACAATTCTGAAAATTAGGTCATTTGTCATCCGTAAGAACATTGATCCAAGCCGGGCGATGGTGGCGCACGCCTTTAATCCCAGCACTTGGGAGGCAGAGGCAGGCGGATCTCTGTGAGTTCGAGGCCAGCCTGGTCTACAGAGCTAGTTCCAGGACAGGCTCCAAAGCTACAGAGAAACCCTGTCTCAAAAAACCAAAAAAAAAAAAAAAAAAGAACATTGATCCATAAACAAAATGCAGTTTAGTGTCTCTCAAATAATAAATTTAATATTTTTAAAGAAGTATAATTTATATTTTCACACTAGCAACATGAGATGGAGTTTCTATTCTTCTGTATCCTATTGTTAACAGGAAAAACTAGTATGAAAGACACCTACATTGAAATCTGCTTTGTGACATTACTAAAATGCTTAACCTGTCTACAATTCATTTATAAAAGAGTAATTATACCTACCACAGGACTTTTTGAGAATCAAAGAGATAACTCTGAATCACAGCACATTCTTTTCTTTTTCTTTTTTATTTATTTATCTACTTATTTATTTATTTATTTATTTATTTGAATTTTCGAGACAGGGTTTCTCCGTAGCTTTTTGGTTCCTGTCCTGGAACTTGCTCTTGTAGACCAGGCTGACCTCCAACTCACAGAGATCCGCCTGCCTCCCGAGTGCTGGGATTAAAGGCGTGCCGCTCGGCCCACAGCACATTCTTAATCATTGAAAGCTATTGTTGCTATTGTCGTTTTAAGTATTTTATCATTCTCATATATTATTTTTTCACTTATTTCAAGTTCTTGAGGAGGGGGTGTGGGGACAGTATCACTAGAGAAAATGGCCTGGAGCTTCCTCAATGTTCTTGCAAATAATGCATGTGAAAATATAACAAACCTGCAGGAGGAAGGGGTAAGCAGGGAGGCTGGAGAGAGAGTTCAGAAGAAGTTCCAGAAGAAGAATTTGGTTCCCAGCACTCACATGGTAGCTAAGAGCATCTGTAACTTCAGTTCCTGGGGATGTGGTACTCTGTTCTGGCTTTGGCGGGCACCATGCACGCATGTAATGTATGGAAGTACCATACAAACAGGCAAAACACCCATATACATAAAAAGCAAATAAAATACAAGCAACATTAAAAGAGTGCGTTTTATACTATAGTGTATAAGGCCTGATGAGATGGTCTCTGTTTATGCTCAGGGAAGGATTGCATAGGTTTTAATTAGCTAAGTTTGCTGAAGCCAAAATACTTTATTGCTTGATGCTAACCAGTCTTGTATTGGTACCCACAGTGCAAACTAAATCTGTTGTTTTAAGTTCTTTGATCAGAGGCACAGAGTGCCATGCAGGTTTTGATTGATAATTGATTAGAAGGATCTGTCCCAAGAACAGCTTACGAAAGATTCTGGACTCAGTCTCCAAATACTCCCGTAGGCGAGGCGGGAGACACAGTTCCTACCAGCCTACTCTAATTAGTCTGGCTTCCTTCCTTCCGGACTGTCTACTCTTTGATTTAGACAGAGGTGGAGGTGGGGAAGTGGAAGAGATGGGAGGCGGGATGCAGAGAAAGCCCTTGCTAAACGCTCCCAAATGCACCTTACATTGGGAGGAAAAGTTGTGCGGGCCTCACTAGCTTACGAGCTCAGCTTGAGGGAGGGTCGTTTCATGGCATCTTATGTCCTCGGTGCCTCAACGGGGACATGTATTCAGTGTCTATGAATATATGAAAATGACACAGAAGGGGGCACTATCCTAGTTTATAAGATAATCCCAAGTGGCTGCTTTAGAAATTCATGATCCATGATGTAGTAAGAGGAGTGCCGAGTGCCCACTGTTACACTTTCACTTTACCTTCATACCAAGTGAAGTAAATTCTGGAAACTAGGTTACCAAGTTAGGCAACACCGCTGAGGTGGGGCAGCTAGCATGTAGGCCCTGAACGCAGACTTGTCAACCACACAAGAAGAGGCCATTGATTCCGCAAAACCAGGTCAGCAGCTTCCACGGACAGCTTCGGGCAGTTTCTACCTGGAAAGCACAGTCTGGTTTACCAAGAACAGCCAGTGTACACACCCACCCCGCCCTAAGTAAGAACAGGAAAGTCGAAGGGAAAAC